GTTTTTATTACACCTTCCCTGTTGAGGGATATTTTCTCTGGATATGGAGTTCTGGGCACAGAAATTTTTGTTTCAGCATTTTAAAAATGTCATTCCTTTATCTTCTGCCTTACATTGTTTCTGATGAAAAATCAGAGATCATTCTGATTGTTATTCTCCTATATTTAAGATGTCTTTTTCCTCTGGATGTTTTTAAATATTCCTCTGTATGACTGGTTTTTAGCAGTTTGATTATGATATGTAGTTTTTTATGTGTGTTTATCCTGTTTGAGAGCTTCATTGAGCTTCTTGGATCCTAAGTTTGTATTTTTTATTGAATTTGGAAATTTTTCAGCCAATATTTTTTCAAATATTTTTCTTTCCTATCGAGATTTTAATTACATATATGTTAGACATTTGATAATGTTCACAGATCAACTGAAGCTCTGTTCATTTTTTTCAGCCTGTTTTCCCTTTGTGCTTCAGTTTGGACAGATTTTATTGCCCTGTCTTCAAGTTTATTGATCCTTTCTTATGTAGTGTCCAATCTGTTTTATTAGAAAAATTCATTAAGTAAATTTTTTATTTCACCTATCAAATTTTTCATCTCTGTAAGTTACGTTGGTTCCTTTTTATAGCTTTCATTTCTCTCTTTATTATGTTCATGTTCTCCTTTAAATCTTTGATCATGTTTATAACAGGTCCTTGTCCCCTAATACCATCATCTCTCTCATTTCTGTATGTTTCTGTTGACTGGTTTTTCTCTTAATTATTGGTCACATTTCCCTGCTTCACCTGAAAAATAATTGTTCATTCTGTGCTACATGTTGCAGATACTGTGTTGTTGACCGAAATTTTGTCGTCCTCCTTTGAAAAGAGTTTTGTTCTGGCAGGCAGTTATTTCACTTACAGATGAGCTTGATACTTCAAAAGCTGGTTTTTAAACTGTGTTCAGGCAAGTCTAGAATAGTTCTTATTCTAGGACGAGAGTAGTTTTTCTAAGGCATGGCCTTTCTGGTCTCAACTGAATGCCTGAAGTATTCATATTCAGCAAGTCTCTGCCAGGTGGGAACTCCAAAACATCTCCCAGTCTTGTGCGACCTCTGAATCTTCACTGAGCTCACAGCCCTCCAGGAGCTGTTTTCTGCGGATTTGTAGAGACTCACGCTGCTCAAATGCAGTTGGGTATGCAGCCAAAGACTTCAAGGGGGCCCCTCTGCACATTTCTGAAGTTCTTTTTTGCTGCACAATTCTCTCTCCCCTTGTTATTCTGCCCTGAAAATTCGAGCCACCTCAGAAGCCCTGAACTCTCATCACTGCCTCGTGGGTTCAGCAGGATGGCACGCTTTGGGCTCCACCTCTCTCCACCCTGGTCCAGAGAGCTGGAGTGACCAAGGGGCTCACATCTTGTCTTCGCTCATGAGTCACAGTTCTGCACCACCTTTGTCCAGCTTTGCGGTCGAATATGGCAGGAGGGCTGGTCCTGTACCAGCTATGCAAGTGTTCCAGTTCTCTTTCTAAGAGGAAATCCACAAGAAGGGCTGTGGATTTTGACTCCTCCGGCATCACACCTCCCATTCATTGCCACCTCCGGCCTGTGAGCACGTGATTCCATCTGCCCTGAATACATTTTCACCCCCTCTACCTTGTGGGGGTTTTCTGGGAGACTGTCTCGCTGGTCTCTCCACCCTCTTTCTTGAATCCTTATATTCTCTCAATTTTTTTTTGCTTTGGTTAAATTTTCAGCTTTCCAGAAAGAGCAGACCACAGTGCTTTGTCATTTTTTAGCTATCTCTTGGATGTAAATATCGCATATGTATTTCTTTTAAGGGAAGTCAGCCAGTCTGTTGGAGACTCTTGGTGAGAGCTCCGGTAGGAATTGCAGTGTGCTAATGTGCTAATGTTCCACGTGCGGTCAATGGTTGGAGCAAACTGTTGAGTGAAATGAGCCGGGAGCCTGGGAAATTCATCTTGGCTCAGCCCTGACCCACTCTGTGACCCTGAAGTGGTGCCCATACCTCTCTGAGCCTCCATGGCTCCATCCACCTTCTACCCTTGGGGCCAGTGGGAGGATAATATGTCAGATAGTTTTGTGGCATAATTATGTCCCCTCGTGCATCCCTTCTTCGATGTGCTGTACTTCAGCAGTGCTGAGTTTTACTTTGCTGGCCATTCATGCATCAGTTCGCAGATTCCACAGTATCTGTTGGGCCTAACTGTGTTTCAGGGCCTCTGCCAGGCACTCAGTGCGTGGTGGGCTAAACTGGCAGAGTTCCTGCCTCGCGGAGCGCACAGGCTAATGGGGACATAGTCATCGATCAAATGTCTCACCGTGTGTTCTTATTGATGGTGATCAGTTCTTGGAAGGGAAGAGGGAGGGGACTGAGATAAATGGCCAGGTAGGGAGGTATCAGGGACGACTCCCCAAGGAAGTGATGTTTACATGTAATACTTAGGACCAGCAATCAAAAATTTGAGGGAAGAATGTTCCAGACCAAGGGAATAGCATGTGCAAAGGCTATGAGCTTGGAAGAGAAACAGGTATTGTAGGATGTCAGATGGCGAGGTGAATGGCCAGGAGGAGGCTGGGGAGTCCCAGGCAGGGGGGTGGGAGCACACAAAATAATACCCCCAGGTCATGCGCTCCCTGAGCTCCCTGCCCCAGGGAAAAAGGGGGTGGTCTCCTGTAGAATTCCAGGATTCTCACAGCAGGAATTGTAGACAATTGACAAGGTCTGATTGCGAGGGGATCCTAGAAACCATTCTGCAGGGGTGGAGATGGAGGCTCAGAGGGAAAGCAGCTTGCTGGGACTATTGTTAGAAACTCTGTTCCTTGTGCCAGGTTGCCAGAATGTGTGGGTGAGTGCCACGGGGTGGCAGTGGGATGCGGGGGCACATGACCCTGTGCAGAGGTCCCCGAGTAGCTGGCACACTCAAGCTCCTGTCTCATCCTATGCTAACATTCCGTGTGGCCGTAAACAAACGTATTATGTCAGTAGCCAGAATCAACCTCTGGGCCTTGGTTTCCTTATCTCTAAAAACTCCCAGCCATAGCTGCTTACATTGAGAGAGCAGGTTGCCATTCAGGGTGCTTCTCTGGCTTCCTTAGACCCCCACAAACGTCCGCGAGGCCGGCCGTGCAGGGATGGGCATCCATGGCTATCAGTGGGGTGAGGCAGGAAAGCAAGGCCAAGAGGGGGAAGTAGAGTCCAGGATTGCGGAGGCCGAAAGGAATGGAGCTGGGATTCAGAGGTGGGTTTGCCTCACTCCAGACTCAGTGCTGGTTCCGAACAGTGAGCCACTACCTATGGTCGCCACACTGTGCCCGACGCAGGAAGAGAGCAGAGAAACCGGAGATGGGACTCTGGGTACCTATCACACCATGACTGTGTAGGTTTAGTCCCTGGCTAAAAAAAAAGAAAAACTGGAAACTCTCAGACAAGCCGTCCTTCTGGTTGGCCTCCGGGGCCTCGGAGGTCCCTGGCTCAGAAAGAGGAGGGAGAGTGGGAGGAACACGGGGAAGTATCCTTCCCACGGGCCCTCTCAGCGCCTGGTTCAGAACGCGAGAGGCCAGAGGGCGGGAGTTCGGGGAAGAGGGACACCTGTGTCCTCCGCACTCTCAGGCCATGGAGATTTCCTTCTGGCGCTGGGGTAGGGCCGACAAGGGCTTGTTTAAGGGGCCACGACTGAAGAGCTCCCCAGCTCCTGGCATCTGGCCACCACTGTAGGTGGAGGAGCGAGTGACCCTCCCAAAGGGGAAAGGGGAAACCCTGAGTCCCTGGAGCCTCCCTGAGTGCCTCAGGGGAGTGATCAAAGAGTGGCAGAGTGGTCCTATTTGACCTTGGGCAAGGCCCCCGAACGGCTCCCCATCTGCCAGGATGGGCAGATGTGGGGCGTGGAGTCTTTCATTTGGGCTCCGAAAGCCATGGGCGGAGTCTTGGATGCCCAGGACAGATGTCATCCTAGAGCCGGGAGCTCATAGGGCCACCTCCGCCCCAAGGACAGGAAGGCAGCAGCCAGGCTGCCCTAGGCAGGCCCTGCTATGGCCAGGTACTGAGGCAAGAGGGTACCTCAGGTGTCGTTAATTCCTGGGGGTCTCTGAGCCCCTGGGCAGCACCAGAGGGGCCCTTCCCCTTGCTGCCTAGTCCTGTTCCTGCCTCCAGGGGAGCTCCGCAGATGTCCTGTGATCTCTGAGTGAGAAGGCCCCCGCCCCCTCCTCTTTAGTTATTATCGTGGGAGTGTGGCCAGGTTCAGGGGTTTGCCACCACTGGTGGTGGCTCAGGGCAGCGTGAAGGGGGCTGGCCACTGCCCACCAGAGACTGCCAGAGGTGGAAGCCACTCGAGAGCCAGCCCCCCACTTCCCAGTGACCCCAGCTTCTGCATAGTACTCAGGGAAGAGAGACGGGGCCTGAGTAATGGGGTCCCAAGCTTCCCCAGACGTCAGGGGACTACTGTGCTTATGTCGATGAAAGCGTCAGCTGCTGGGTTAAGCTCTGTCCCCTGCCGGCAGCAGTTCCCAGTCAGGGCCCACAAGGTGCTACAGAGCCTTCTCCTGCGCTTCCCCCACCCCACCGACCAACCCCAGCCTACCCCTGCCTGTCTGCTTTCTGTCATTACTTCTGAGCCGCCATCCTTTGGAGGAAAAGCGGCTTTAGCCAACATTCTAGGAGATGCACTTGGGCTTGGAATGACTAGTTCAGGTGCCCTGGCCGTGGGTCACAGGCTGAGTTCTTGGGCTGGTCAGGGGTTGTGGGTGACCTACCCAGCGGGCTGCCAGTGGCCTCCAGGTGACTCTGAGTGTGAGCTGGTGGCTAGGCTTCCCTGGAGAGGCTGAGGGAAGGCTCTAGACTCCCAGACTTTCTCCGGCTCGGGGTGGAAGCAAGAGTCCTTGCTCTCTGTGGCACGAGAAGAGATTGAGCAGAGACAGTCCCAACCCTCAGACGTGGGGGCCTGTGGCCAAATTAGCCACTCAGTTCGCCCACTCCGAGGGCCCTCGGGGACTGAGAGCGTGACCCTCTCAGGTACTGCCCCCGGGTGGGAGCCGCCGGACGATCCAGACACAGGCTCTGAGTGTTCACATCCAGAGGTCTCCCCATCTCCACGCTTCGTGGCAGCGAAGACCCAGACGAACCAGTCGGGGAAAAAAGCTCCGGCCTCCGTGGTCCGATGCGCCACCCTCTTACACCGCACCCCTCCAGCCACCCAAACCCAGACGTTCCGCACTCCAAATTCGGGATCTCCAGCAAGCAAGGCAACTGCAGGTACCAATGGCCTCCATCACCCCCCACTTCCTCCACGCCCGTTCTCGCCACCTGCCACAGCTGTGCCTGGGGTCCGTGTTCCCTTGCAAGAGCAAGACAGGAGGTCCCGTAGTCCTCTGGGACAGATCTGGGTCCCAGCTCTGGCTCTGGCTGGCTCTGGGACCATGGCCAGCCACCTGGCCTCTCTGAGCCAGGTTTTCTCCCCCTAAATCAGAGGGGGTTTACAAGGATATTTGCAAACATTTTTTTTTCAAGTAGTGGAATATTTTTTCCCGAATCACGGCCCAACGGGCCTGTTTTATTTGGCCTTTTCAAGGTTTAAAAAAAATTTTTTTAATTAACATTTGAACATTAGGAGATTTTATGTAAAACTTTTGATTTCTAGCTGACATTGAAAAGTCAGATGTGGCAGTCCTGGGCCCAGTTTCCTACAGGGCAGCAATTGGCTGCGTCCTTCAATAGGGCACGTGCTCTCCAGTTTTCCAAAGTCCCCACCATTCCCTACTGCCTTCCCCAACACAATGGCCATGTGGCAGGTGTCATTTCTCATTGCGATCACACTGTTGTCTGTCTTACATCCAGCCCAGTTCATCCATTTATGTCACCTGCCCGGACTGTTGGCATGAGTTTGCATTTCCCACCTTTCAGAAAACTCAAACAGAAATCTCATTTCAACAAGGATCTGCTCTGCACGAAACAGGATGGTTATGGTGGACCTAGAACCTTGGGTTCTTGGCCTTCCCCTACCTAGCACTACCCGTGAAACCCTTCCATGAGAGACAGAACCAGGAGGAAACTGGTGGCTGCCAGCTTCAGCATTTTCCAAGTCCATGCAGCAAAGGGCTCTGGCTACAGAAGAGTGAACAGACAGTAAGAAGTTCCCAGCAGTCATTTCCTCCATGAAACCTGATCAGACACACTGTGCTGAGCAGCAGCTGTCAGGAAGCCTTAGATTCGTACTTGGGTGGAACAAGTCTCAAGCCACCCGCCTGTGATGTGTGGGCTGTAGGGTGGAGTGATGGTTGGTGCTTCTGGGACTGTGGGCCTTTCGGTTGCCCTCAGGAGACCAAAGCCACTTCTTGAATATATAAACGATCAAGCTGAGAACTCAGGTAGAGGACCTACTTGGTTCATCCAGAGACTAATGACCAAGCTGAGTGACTAGCTGTGCTTGCCTTTACTCTTTAGTTCAGGAGGCTAATTTTGGGTAATAATCTGGTTCTTCGAAGATGTGTTTATTGTGCTTAGATCTCCCAAAAGGATAATAGTTAATCAGCCTTGAAGGTAATGGCTTTCTAGGTACCGTGTTGAGAAACTTCAGTAACCGTTGTGTTTTTGCAACAATAAGCTAGAAACAGACTGGTCATGAAGGCCTTGTTGGTGGTAAATATTGGCTCAACTAAATAATGGAGTCATGGCTTTTGAATCTTGCTGTTACTCTTGTGCTTTGTGGCCAGGAGTTTTTACGTCTGCAGTTTCTGCAGAGAACTGCCCACAGGGGCTGGTGTGGTATGTGGCAGGTCTGGAACCTCAGCATCTCCGAGATGAGCACCCAGCGAGCTACGGGCATGCCTTGGGCTGTTTCATGTGCTTGGGAAGACGCGTGTGGTGAGGGTTACATCTGGGCAGGTCAGAGGGCACCAGGTTGGGAGCAGGAACCTGCAGGGCATGTAAGATGGTGCATGCTGGAGGTAGAAGTTGTCACTGCCCTCATTGTCCTGGAATGAGTGGCTCTTCATGCGTTTATGAACATGCCCATGCGTGAGACCTCACCTCTGGTACCGCACGTTGGTTTTCAGCCAAAGGTGCTTGTGGCGGGGAAATCCGTTCACAGTTTGCATTATCACCTGAGCAACGGAGGACTAATTTAAGAGTTTGCATCCTCAGTTGTGCTAAGTTCTACCAACGTGTGGATCAGAACAGAAATCCTCTGTAGATGGGTACCTGCCCCATTCGTACACAAGGATTAGGATGGAAAAGGGAGTCACTTCCATACCCCAGACCTTTTTAAAAAGGTAGCGTCTGTCCTAAGTTGAAGTCTTAATCTGCTATCTTAGAGGGTTAGCAACACATCCAGCCCCAGGAACTTGACAATCTCACTCTTTCCTCTTTTGTTTCTTCTATGAAATGGGGATGACAACATAGCCCTCACAGGGCTCTTGGGAGGGTTAAGGGAGACCATGGGTGTAAAGTGTCTGAACCAGCACCTGGCACATAGTAGGTGCTCAGTAAACAAGAGCCCCTTCCCCCTTATCCTCCCCAGACAGAGAACTGAGCTTTCTTTGCCAGTTTACAGATGCTGTCTTGAGGCTCTCAGCCCTGGCATTTTACAGACATATTTTGAAGGAAGGGTCGTCCTTGTGAAGTTAGCAACAGCCTCTGCGAGAAGGAGGCTGTATTGGAGGCCCTGTTACAGGTGGGAGGACTGGAATTGAGCAGGGCCTGGAGGAGCTGCCTCTGGCTTCCTTCCCCATCGTCCCTACGACCATCTGGAACCCCTGCCCCGGCATCTGAGCACTTTCCCTTCTGGAGCAGGGTGGACCAGCAAGAGTGGCATTTCCCAAAGTGGCTTGTCCGGGATCACCAATTTTGTGGGATATTATGGAGTCTGATATTTTTAAAAACAAGGTTCTGTAGGAACCGCTGTTATGTTTGGGGAAGGCTAGGTTAGATAATGCTAAATGGGTCTCTTTCTAGTTGAACTTCCCAGAGCCTTTGATATCTTTGTGCAAGTTGTTCCTCCTTAAGAAAGGGACAGGTCAGCTGCACACCCCAATCTGACTTGGTCTCTGAGGCCTTCATCTTCTGGGTCATCCAGCATCCCCTCATGCCAAGAGCACCTTGGAAAAGCCGGGTGTCTTCCAACTCAGGTGTTCTGTCTCAGTACCTTCTGCAGGTGGTGGTGGGGGGTGCTAAACTCGTGGTCGTGGTTTCCCACCTGGTGGGACCTTATCTCTGCATCTCGGGGGTTTCCAGAGAGCACCTGGGAGAGGCTGAGCCACTTAGGAAGGTGCCAGCCTGTAAGCAGAGACATCCCAGATGTCACGCGGGGAGGTAGTCCCTTCACAAGTGAACTCTGACCAGACCTCACCTGGGCTTTGGCTGCCAGGGGTACGGGGCTGCCCTGGCTCTCCCAGTCATGCCTTTTGTCCCAGGTTGCCCCCCCTGCGACCAGGATCCATCTAGCTGATGGAGCTGGAATCACCAGGAGCCAGGCTGTCATCGTCCCTGCTCCTTTGTGGGGGCTGTGGCCACAGAACCTGACAGGAGCGGTGGACAGTAGATCCAGATGACTTGATGTCACAAATGTGGGAGACCCAGGCCCATCTGCCATCTGTTCTCTGGCGTGATTTCATCTGTGTGCTCTTGGGCAGGCCACCCCACCCCCACCCCTTGCCTGGACCTCCTGAGCACCGGCCGGAGGGTCTCTTGGGGCCCTGGCAAGGGATCAGGCCACTCCAGTGGGCGTGGCGAGCTAGGGAGGTCTGGCCTGGGGTCCTGGGACCCTCACTCTGCCCAGCCCAGGGGCAGCCTCCTGCATGCCCCTCCCCTGAGACCGAGTGCTGGCCAGTCACCACTGTTCTCTCCCCTCTCTCCCGGCCCCCACCCAGCAGAAAGCGCTTTTAGTCGGAGAGTAGAAGGCAAAGCACAGAACCACTTTGAGGAGACGAACAGCAGCTCTCAGAACTCCAGCGGTGAGTGTGCCCAGGACAGCCACCCTGTGTGGCAGCTGCCGCCTCCGCCCGCTCCCACCTGGCAGCAGCACGGGCACTCTGTGGGCTGGGGTCTTTGCAGCACATGATGGATCTTCCTGGGAGGAGGCTGGGGATGGGTTAGAGGGAGACTAGGCCTTTTCCTAGTTCCCTGGGGGCAGGGTATTAGAGGGAGGGGCCTTATCCTCCAGGGACATCCCGCTGGGCCTCAGGCATCACGGGGACTGTGGCTCCTCTATGTCCCCGGCGAGAGGAACTGCCCTCTCTCCAACGCCTGCAACATCAGCTCAGCCGGCCCCAGGTGGCTGAGCCTAAGAGAGCCGTTGGTGTGTTTTTAAGGTAAACGTCTCAGCTAGTTTCTTTCAAGGAGAGGCAAAGCGGGTGCAGCTGAGAGAGCTCTAAGCCAGAGGCCCTACTTTGGACCTGCAGCCATTTAGAACAAAGGTCCCCTTCCAGCGCCTACCACTCAAGTGCATTTGCCGGAGATTCCCAATGGTGTTTGGCGCCCCCTGATGGCTGCTTCGGGCAGGACCTCAGCCGAGCCCTAGAGGCTCTAGAACAGCAGCCCAGGGCCACTCTCCCCACCAGACACATCATCAGCCTGGCAGGGCCGTGGCCGTGTCCAAGAAAGGCACAGCGAGCCAGTCTGTACAGTGAGAGCCAGGGCAGGCGAGGAGAGGGGTTCTGACACTGGGGTTACACTAGGGTAAGGCGCCCACTCGCTTTCTCGCACAGTCGAAGTCGATTTCACCCACTGTTGGTTGTCAGCCTGTGGTCAGGCGCCGTGCTAGGCAACGCCTGGGTGTAGACAGATGATGGATGAAGCTCACCTGTCAGGGCTTCTGAGAGATACCCAGGAGCACAGACTTCAGCGCGGAGGCGTCTTCCTCACAGTAGGAGCCCCCCTTTGGGCTCTGGCCCTCGTTTGAACCCCAGCTCCACCACTTACCAGCTGGTGACTTGGGCTAGTGTCTTCATTTCTGCGCTGCTGTAAAGCGGCTTGAAGAACACACATGGCCCCGCGGTGGTTGTAAACATCTGGCAAGTGCCCACACAGATTCCGTATTCTGAGGTCAGGGGTGTCTTTTTGTGGTTATTGTTGGGTTTTTCATGTTATTTGTTTTTAAGTAAACCAAGTGATTTGATGACTGCCCTGCAGAAGGGGGTGAGGTTTTAAACAATGTAACCACATAACCTCTCCAAGAGATGGGCCTCAGAGGGATGGAGTGACGTGCCCAAGGCCACGCAGGAATAAGTAGCAGTGCCGGGCCTGGAACCGAGGTCTCCGGGTGTGCCCTGTGCCCCTAGCCAAGCCATGCTGCACCCGCCGTGCGTCTCCCGCCACCAGAGCTGACAATCGCCATTGGAAACAGTGGTGCCAGTACTGCTGCCGGCAGCCACCATTTATTGAGCGCTTACTATGTGCCTGGCTTGTGTTCAGAGCTCTATGTGTCTTATTTGTCTCCATCCTTACCACAGCCCCGTGGGGGGTCAGTGTTACTGTGATCCCCGCTTTTTGGATGAGGAAACTGAGGCTCAGAAGAGGTCGATTGTTGTCCCAGGCCCCCCAGGTCGTAAGTGGTGGAGCCAGGATTCCCCGTCTAATCCATCTGGGCCTGCTCTGCTGCCTGCATTTGGGCCTTGCCAACCTCTGGCAATGCCAGGAACCGAAGGGAAGATGCCAGCGAGCAGGAGGCCTCAAAAGCACAGCCCCTCTCCGTGGCTGCTCTGGTGTTTGGTACCAAACACTCCCATCCTGGTGCCAGAGCCCAGAAGCAGCTTCCAGCTCCCTGTCCTGCAGTGAGCCACCATGTGGGGGCATCTGTCACCAGTTTTCCTGTGGCCTTGCTCTGCAGAGTTGGGGTATCCTAGAAGGATGGCCCTGCCTGGTATCCCCAGCACCCGGGGGAAACCAGGATTCTCTGAAAGACATGGCCTCCATGTCCAGCCTCCCCCGGTCCCAGCCCAGACTGTGAGCTGCCTCTCAGCTGCTCCCCTCTTCTGAGAGCCCCATCTGGCTCCCTGGTTATTAAGAATAAAAATTATAATGATCATCACAGGACAGCAGAACCGGAAGAGACTTAGCTAAACTGTTTCTCTTTTGCAGAAACTGCAAGTCCCCTGATTTCCAATCCTTTCCCTCTCCTGCAGAGTAAGTGGTGGTCCCATCGGGGGGCTGGAGAGGGCGAGGCAGGACAGGGAATGAACTTGGCCGGCCACATGCAGCCAGAACCTCCCCAGAGCGTCTGACCTGGGCTGTGTGAGACGAGCCCTGGGCCGCCCTCCCTCCCGGGCAGACCCGGCAGCTGTTAGAGATGGGCGGAGGGCCCAACCCTGGGCTGGTGAGGAGTTTGCACAAGGATGGGGCGGAGCCCTGGCAGGCAGAAAGCCTGCCGCCCCCAACCCCTGCAGGAACCCAGGCCTTCCCAGTCGTGGTCACCGGCAGCCTCAGGACACCTCTCCCGAGCCCCATCTCAGCTGTCCTCTTCCCTCTGTTCCTTCACTCTGCTTCCTGCCCCTCTGGCTTTTTCTTCTTCCTTCCTCTCCTCTGCCCTCCTCTCTGCCAGGTACTGGCGTGAGTGCTGGGAGCAGAGAGCACCCTCGCTCCGTCCGCACCTGCCTTCTCTCCTCCTCGCCTCCCTCTCTATCTCTCCTCTCCTGTTCCCTCTCCGCGCCTGGTCCCCATCTCCTCCCTCCTTTCCGCGGCCTTCTCCACTCCTTACCCTCCTGTCTTGCTGCTCGTTTCCCTCTCTCCTCTGCCCTCGTGTCCGTTACCTTGGCTTTCGTTCGTTCATTCATTCATTCGTTCTTGTGTTTACTCGGCAAACGGTGACCTCCGTGTGGCTCCACAGGCAGAGACCTGGGCTGTGATGCAAATGAGACTCGGTCCCTGCCCTGATGGGCTCTTGGTCTCTTGTCCCCTGCCCCTATCTCAGGTGCCCAGAACAGCGGCTGGCACGCAGTAAGCACTCAATAAATGCCCACTCGATTGAGTTAAATGGTCTCTCTCTGCATGGCTTCCTCTCTCCATCGCTCCTTCCTCCCCCGGCCTCTCCCTCACGGGTCTAGTGACAAGGGAAGCAGACAGGCTAGGCCCAGAGCCCCGGGCACAGAGACCCAGTGTGTGTTTGGGTTCCTACTTCCAACCTGCCTGCAGCCCAGCAAAAAGGCATCCGCGTCGGGTCCGCCCCTCACGCGGCTGCCTCGGTTCTCCCCGCAGAACCCTACACCTGCGGCGCCTGCGGGATCCAGTTCCAGTTCTACAACAACCTGTTGGAGCACATGCAGTCCCATGCAGGTAAGGGGCCCAGCGGTGCGCTGGGCATGCGGCTCCCGTCCCCTGCCCTTCCTCGATTCCTGCAAGTGGAAGAGACGCCAGAGCCTGGCCTGAGGCCCCTGGGGAAGGCCGCTCCCTCCTGGAGAATGGTCACAGGACATGGAACGTGCCCAAGGGAGCTCCAGTCAGTCGGTCTTTGTCACAGGGTGGTCTTTGCCCTGGGGCGCAGCACAGTCCCTGTGGGAGCACAGTCACAGAGCGGGGCAGATTTGATTGAAGAAGGCTTCCTGGAGGTGGTGGCTCCTGGGCTTGGGCCTAAAGGCCAGGTGGGAGCTAACTTGGAAAAGAGACAGCCAGGCAGAAATGGAATGTGGTTTGAGATCAAGGTGAGCAGAGGCAGAAGGTGGAAGTGGAGAGGGGATGCAGCCCGAGGCAGCCTGGGCTAGGGCCCATCTCAGAACAGCCTCGTTCATCATAACACTCCATGGCCTGGAAACCGGTCGTCCTTGAACTTGAGCACACGTCAGAACCACCAGGGGGGCCTCACAGATTCGAGGCCCCACTCTGAATGTCTGATTCTGTAGGTCTAGGGGGTGGGGGGCTAGGTTTTGCATTTACAAGTCCTTGGGCAGTGCTGCTGCCGCTCTGGGGCCCACACTTTGAGAACCACTGCTCTGGAGCTGCAGGCTCCATCATGTGCTACCCAGGAAAGCTTTTTACCAAGTGCTTCACCACCACGCGACACGGGTGTCCATCTCTCCAGCTTGCGGCATCAGCTCCCTTGCTACGTACCGCCCAGCCTCTAAACCACACCTCCAATTGTGGTTTTTGTCACAGCGGCACCCGCCTCCTGATATGTGTGTTTTAGTCAGGAAGACACTATTTGCTGAAAGAAATAATCCTCAATTCTTAGTGGATTAACATACAAATCATTTATTTCTCACTCACGTTATAGCCTAGCAAGCGACCTAGTTGGGTGGCTTCCACGCAGTGATTCAGGGATCCAGGCTTCTTCCCTCTTGTGGCTCCACCCGCACCCAGCTCCTGGGAGTCCCCTCTCTCTGGTGGGTGGAGATTGAGGCTGTGGGGAAGGCATAATGCTTTGTCACTTCAGAGCACAAGTGACACATGTCATAGATGCTTAAATCCCAGTGGCAAGAGTCGGTCACATGGCCAGCCTGAATCCATAGACAGAAGTCTGCCCATAGCCACTGCCCAGGGACAGCTAGACACTCTGCAAAGGGAAACTAGCTGTCCCTCCCCACCTCCTTCAGAGTAATCCTCTAGAGGCATTAGAAATGACGTGCGAGAAGTGCCTGGCACATAATGGTGGTTTGGCAGTTGGTAGGTACTGTTACTTCTGTTGTTATTGTTGTCATTATTATTATTATTTGTATCCATCTTAGGTTTGCAGATCTTTTGAATTAATATCATCCTCCAGGTCTAGCCTGACTAGCACCTCTTTTAGGCTAGGTACTGTTCTATTAGTGTAACCTGTATCATTTATTCATTCATTCAGCATATATTTGTTGGGTATCTGCTGTATACTCGACACTAATTCAGATGATCTTTGGGGGGGGCTTATTATTTATTTCTATTGAACTCTTTAAAATCAGGACAGAGCTCTGGAGTAGCAGCCAAGACACCTGAGCCCCAGTTCTGCTCTAACTGCGGTGCCTTGGTGCTGTGTGACTTCAAGCAGCAAACTCTGTCTCCGTCTCTCAAGCAAGACCCCCAGATCTCGAGCTGCCCTCCTCACACCAGGCTTCCCATGTCTCCTGCCTCCCTCTTTCCTTTGTCATCAGCCATCCCTCACCAGGGAAGGCCTTGAATGCCAGCTCAAGACATCTGGACTTGACCCCATGGGGAGCCAGGAGCCCCAGGCTAGTGGCAGCAGTGGGCAGGCTGCTTGGGGACCACAGCCTGAACATATCTCTTGGTCCCGAGAGTCCCATAGCCCAGCCTCCTGTGTTCCTCCTCTGAAGCCTCCTGCGCCCCACCTGTGCCCCCTCCCAGCTTCTGGAAGCTGATCGGTGATGAGGAGGAGCGTCTGGGTGCCAGTGCTTTCCCATCCCTCAGGCAGGTGGAGGACCAAGGCCATTAAAATGCAAATCAAGGCTGAGCCTTGAGGTGGCCCCACCTCTCCCAAGCATCTTGACTTGTTTTCCACGCAGAGCTGTGGGCTGCTTTGTTCTGGTCCAGCGCTGCCAGAGAAAGCCTTGCCCGCAAAGCCAGTGCAAAGCCAGGCGGAATCCCAGCCACACTGAATTGGGATTAAAGGATTGGTTCCATAGAGAGAAATTAAGCGTCATGAGCCACGCAGTTCACAGCACCGCCGATAAGGAGGATCAGCCTCGAATAACACCAATCTCATTAAGAAGCTGCTGAATGGCACAGGGTAATTCCCACTAATAAACTTCCTTTCTCTGCTGTAGGAACTTGTCTTGCCTTGGTGACAGTCGAGGAGCATGCTGTGGCAGTAACAATACTAACAAGAGTGAACATTTAGTGACGTGCTTTCTGTGTGTCAGGTGTTGTCCTGAGAGCTTTCCATAGGCTGGTTCACCGGGTTTTCCTGAACAAACCTATTGGGTAGTTGACATTTTCATCCCCATTATACAGATGACGAAACTGAGGCTCAGAGAACATAATCGCTAACCCAAAGTTGCATAGCTCATAAAAGTATCTGATATTGTTGGAGCTTTTAGTTGGTGCCAGGCCTTGTTCTAAGAGGTTTACACATATTTGCTCATTTAATTCTCAGAACAACCCTCGGAGTTAAATGCCCATATTAGCTCTAATATACAGATGAGGAAACTGAGGCACAAAATGGTTACGTGACTTGTCCAGGGCTGTGCAGTCACAGTGGCAGGACCAGGATTCAAACCCTTGCAGTGAACTCCAGAGCCTGTGCTCTCAGCGTCCACCCTGTGCGGCCTTGGGTAGACCCTGGCGCAAGATGAGCAGAGATGGAAGAAGCCCCCTCGTTCAAGTACAGGCAGGAGCATCCCAGCTAAGAGGGACGTGGGGACTCTCGCAAGCAGCAAGCAGGTTGGCAGCTTGGCGGTTTTAGGATTTTGGAGGTGGCCACACCTGGTTTTGAATCCCTTTGAGTCTCTTCGCCTCTCTGGGCCTCAGTTTCTTACCTGTGAAGCGGGTTTGTTCAGTGTTCTCTGCAGGGCTGGGTGAGGGTTCCAGAGATGCCAGATAAAAAGTGTTGCAGGCTGTGGCACATTCTAAGACCTGACAACAGCAGGTGCCTCTTTTACCATCCCCTGTGGGAAATATCTGCTTTCTCCTCCCTGCAAAGGTCTCTCTCTGGGAAACCCTTAATTCCAGCTTTGCATCTGTCCCAGACACAGCTGTAGGGGAGGGGAGGGCACATAGGGGTAGCCACAGGTAAGCTTTATTTTCAGCTCAAGCTATAAATCAAGCCTTTTCATGGATCTTTTACCTGGTACTTCACTTATAACCAGGACTGGTATCTATGGGATATGGAGAAAAAAAATGTTTTAAATCAACCAATACTGCACATTGTTCTCTAATACTCGCTTGAATGATCTCAATGCTAAGTCCTGCAGAAAGAGAATGAGAGAGTTATCCTGCAATTTACCCAGCCCCGGGGGCGGGGTCGGGGGGAACTGAGACACAGAGAGTTAAAGGGACTAACTTGGTGTCACACCCACAGCCACGGCAGGATTGGGTTCAGACCCACAGCTCTCGTGTTCCTGTACTTGAGTGGAGAAAGTCAACAAGAAAGGCTCCTTGTTTTCATTGTAAAGCTTGTTTCCCCTTCGTGAATGTCAGGTCTGTCCACGAAAGGAAATGCATTCTCTGCATTGGGAAAATGCAGAGAGGATAGAAAATGAAGAATCAGCTGTAAGCTCACTGTTCAGAGCTAACCACTGTTAGAAACTTTTAATGGGTTTCTTTACAATCTATTTTAAAATTGGATTTATGGAGCTATAATTTACATAAATAAAATTTACCAGTTTGAAGAGCACAGTTTGATGGGTTTTGACAAATGCATACAGTTGTTTAACCACCATCATGATCGAAATATGTAACGTGACCATCAACGTAGAAAGTTCCCCTATACCCCTTTGCAGCCGTTCCCTTTCCCCCACCCCAGCCACTGGCAACCACTGTCTGTTTTCTTTTGCTATAGTTTTGTCTTTATATGGAGTTATTGGCATTTAATCTCTTATGTCTGACTTCTTTGACTTGGCGTACTTTTGAGATTCATCTGTGTTCTGTGTTGTCAATGTAATTCCTTTATATTGCTGAGTAGTATGGATGTACCACAGTTTGTTTATCCATTCACCAGCTGATAGACGTTTAGGTCTCCAATTTGGGGCTACTATGAATAAAGCTGCAATGAACATTCATGTCCAAGTCCTCGTGTGGACATATATTTTTAACTCTCTTAGGTATGTACCTAGGAGTGGAAATGCTGGCTCATATGATTACTCTGTTTGCCCATCTGAGGAATTGCCAGACCATTTCCTAAAGTGGTTGCGCCATTTTTACATTTTCTCCAACAGTGTATGAGGGTTTCGATTTCTCCACATTCTTGCCAACACTTTTTATTATCTTTGTGATTATATGTTATTATTTCCCATTGAGCAGTCAGTTGTTTTTTAAAGAGATTAAAAGTGAGGGGATATATTTTTTGTATATATCCACATACATACAGTTTCCAGCACTCATTTCTTTCTCTATATTCAGATTCTTACGTGATAATGGCATTTTTTCTTAGACCTGAAGAACTTCTTTTAATATTTCTTGTAAGACAAGCCTGGGGTTGGGTTTGTTTGGTTGGTTGATTGGTTCTTTGTTTATTTGTTTGTTTTTTTTTTGTCTTAAAGTCTTCATTTCATCTTTACTTATGAAAGATATTATCACTGGATTTAGAATTTTAGGTTGCCATTTTCTTTTAGTACTTCTATTGTCTTCTGGGTTGCATAATTTCTGATGTGAAGTCTGCTGTCATTCTTATTTTTTTTTTTTTTTTGTTCATCTATATATAATCTTCCCCCCTCTGGCTACTTTTAAGATTTTCTCTTTTCATTGGTTTTCAACAATTTTATTATGATGCAGTGCTGTGCATTGGTGATGTTTTCTTCATGTTTATTTTCCTTGGAGTTTTTTAATCTAGTTTATAGTTTTCAGTCTAGTTTGTAGTTTTCATCTAGTTTTGAAAATTTTGGCCATTTTCTCAAATATTTTTTCCACCCCACTCTCTTTTTCTGGGACTCTCATTTTATATTTATACGTGTGTGTGCGTGTGTGTGTGTGTGTGTGTGTATTAAACTGCTTGATGCTGTCCATGCTCTGTTCATTTACTTTAATCCCTTTACCCTGTTTTTCATGTTGAATAGTTGGCCCTGTCTCCCAGTTCAGTGATCTTTTCTTCCATGGCACCTAATATACTTTTATCCCATATGTTATATTTTTTTTATGTACATTTTCTAGAAGTTCTACTTTAGTTGGTTACTTTAGATTTTGTTGGTTTTTTTTTTTTTACATTTTTTCATTTCTCTCCTCATGATCATATTTTCCTTCATGTCTTTGAGCATATTTATGATATTTACAACAGCTGTTTTTAAGGTCCTTATTGGCTAATTCCATCATCTCTGTAATTTCTGGATCTGTTTCTGTTGGTTAGTTTTTCTCCTGATTATAAGTCGTATTTCCTACTACTTATTGAATACTTGATATTGTGGATTTTACAATGTGGGGTGCTGGATTTTGTTGTATTTCTTTAAAGAGTGTTGAACTTTGTTCTGGCTTGCAGATTAGTTACTTAATGATCACTTCTACATTTTTGAGGCTTGCACTTAGGATATTAGGGCAGATGTGGAGCACCCTTCAATGGATGGCAAATTTAGCCCCAGTGATGTAAAGGGGACTCTACCCAATTCCTCATGCATTGAAGTCTCTCCATCCTGACTGATTGCAGTACAAATTGTTCCCACCCATGTGTGTGAATCCTGGGGATTTGTCAGCTTACTGCTTTCTGTTAATAGTAATTCTTTCTCATGTCTTGTGGCATTTGGCCCTGTGAGTGTGCAGATTAATGTTCAGCAGAGACTCGGGGGAGCCCTACTGAAGGCCTCCAGAACTCCGTGTAATTCCTTCCTCTTTGGTACTTACCCCTGTATATTCTACCTGCCTTGGGCCTCCCTGAACTTTGATCTCTGTCTCTTCAAATCTCTGAGACCCTGTGCTCTGTTGCAGTTCTCCTTCTCTGTGCTACAGTTTGGAAACTGCCTGCAGACAGTACACTGGGGCAGTCGTAGAGCTTGCCTACTGTTTCTCTTTTTCTGTGATCACACCCTGAATGCCTGTCTGAAAACATGAATCATGCTTTGTAGTAGTTTATGTCAGGAATGCACATCCTGCAGTAGGTCATCCTAATGAGCAGCAAGTGAAAATCCCCCTCCCCATCTATTTTGGATGCTTAGATTTATTTGACCATATCAAAATGCCTACATAAACAATACCTACAGACGCTGAAGGGAGGCAGGAGGATCACTTGAGCCCAGGAGTTCAAGGCCAGCCTGGGCAACATAGCGAGACCCCCATCCCTTAAATCAATCAATAAATCAATCCTATAAAATTGCGATCAAATCTTGCTTTGCATTGACTTACTTTCCCATGTTATTACAGTCTACCAAACTACCTTTCTAGTAGTTTCAAAATATTCTTTGAAGTGTATGTTCCATAGTTTCTTAACTCGTCTTGCCAGTTGATCAGGTAGAAGTTAAGGAAATCTTTTTTCTAGGTATGAAAAGTATGGCCTGACCTCTAAGGCCTAATGCCTTTAATTGAGAAGAATGGAAGATTTCAGGCACCTCTGAACAGATGTCCTTAACCCATTCATGTCCTTAACCCATTCATATCCTTGGGTTGTGAATTCTATGTTTAAGATGATATCTTAAGGATATAAACCCCCAATCAAAAAAAAAAAGGTACAGAGAAACAATATTAAAATATGAGTGTATAAGAAAAACAGACTGTCTTTCTCTGTATGCTCACTCAACACAGAACATGTCTATAACCAAATATGTGAGTTTTCCAGTTCTCTGTGGACACTGACTGGGTGCCTTAGTCCATTTTCTGTTGCTTAGAACAGAACACCCGAAACTGGGTAATTTATAAAGGAAAGGAACTTATTTCTTATAGTTATGAAGGCTGAGAAGTCCAAGGCCAGGGGGCTGCATCTGGTGAAGCCTTCTTGCTGGTGGGGACTCTGCAGTGTCCCGAGGTGGCACAGGGCATCACACAGTGAGGGGGGGTGAGCTTGCTAACATGCCAGCTCAAGTCTCCCTTCCTCTTCTTATAAAACTACCAATTCCCTTCCCATGATAACTCATTAGTCCATTAACCCGTTCATCCATTAATGGACTAATTCATTCATGAGAGGCAAATTCCCTTGTGACTCAGTTACCTCTTAAAGGCCCCACCTCTCAATACTGCCACATTAGGGATTAATGTTCATCATGAGTTTCAGAGGGAACACAAACCATGGCATTGGGTGTGCTGCGGTTTAACTCAGTTCTGACACTGTCTTCCTGGAGGTAGCATCAGATCTTACAAGTTAAGGGCTCAGTTCCACAAGACTACTACTGCCGGATGCCAACCCAAAGTCCAGGTGGTTGTCGCCTGTTCTTCTGGCCAACCAAGTTATAAATTAGAAGTTCTCATGCCCCCCTTTTCAGGTTTGATGATTTGCTAGAATGGCTTACAGAACTCAGAAGAAAGGTTTTCTTACTAGATTTCCAGTTTATTATAAAGGGATACAACTCTGAAACAGCCTGGAAGATGCAGGAAGAGATGAATAGGGCACGACATGTGGGAAGGGCATGGGCCTTCCCTGCCCTGTCTGGGCACAGCACCCTCCCAGCACCTCCTTGTGTTCACCAGCCCTGCAGCTCTCCAAACCCCATCCCTTTAGGCTTGTATGGAGACGTCTTACCTAGGCATGGACAGTTACATCATTGGTCATTGGTGATCAGCCCAACCTGGAGCCCCCTGCTTCCCTACCCGGAAGACAGTGGGTGGGGCTGAAAGTTCTATCACTTGGGAAATTTTAGGGTTTTAGGAGCTGTGTGCCAGGAACTGGGGACAGGACCAAAATGTATCTTCCTATCATATCATAGTATCACAGTTGGGCAGCTCAGTTCATGGCAGAACAGCAATATTAGAAACAGCAGAGCCCAGAAACCTAGGACTGGCGTGTGGTTCAGAAAACTGTGTTGTGTCATGAGATAGAAGACCTGCGTAGCCATCTGTAATGACAAGAATGTGACTCAGACATTCCTATTCAGAAACTATCCTATCCATGTCCAGGAGTGGCCATGCACAGAGGAGAATAGACATATACCAAATACTTACAACTGGATACAACCATATACGTACGAGTTAACAAAAAACTAGAGAAATATATGGAGGAGACACCCAGGAACTGGGGACCTGGGATCATGTCCTAGCCCTGCTGCCGTTTTCTGTGTGATCTTGGGTAAATCCTTTCCTACATCTGAACTTCAGTTTCCACGTCTTACAGTGAAGGGTTTGATAATTTAGTACTTTGTGTCTTGTAAAGGGCTTTGGTTTGGTTTTGTTCATTTAATGAAATCTCTAGTAAATATACTAAAAAGACAAAAATAGCATGTTTTAAAGAAGTGGGCTTGTGTGAGGTGCTTTTGGCCACTTGAAGCATGACTGGTTCCCCTTCCTCTGTAGCAGAGCCGGAACTCTGTGGCTGCTCAGGGGGAAGGCGTGGGGTTCCCAGCCAGGCTTCCCATCACGGAGAGTTCACCCTCTACCCGGCGCTGTACGCAGCTCTTTCTGGCGTTATCTCTTGTTAGTCCTGCCAGCGGTCATGCAGTGTCATGTCGTCATCTTCATTTTTCCAAATGATAAAAACGAGGCTTTGTAAGCACACATAGCTGTGTACGGAGGAGCCGGGGTTTTAACCTAGGCGTGGGTCCCAAAGGCCACGTTTCGCTGTCACCCGCCACACTCTAGTTCTCACACTCAAGGTAACGCACTGTCCCCTTTGTGCCTATAGCTGACAATGAAAACAACATCGCCTCCAACCAGTCCCGATCGCCACCCGCTGTTGTGGAAGAGAAGTGGAAACCGCAGGCCCAGAGGAACAGTGCCAATAACAGTAGGTTCCCGCAACCAGGGCCGGCCCTGGGGGCTTGTGGAGGTCCTTGCAGCCCCTGCTATGGTTTTTCTGCTCTGCCCCTATTCCCGCCACTTGTGCCTTCTGTGATAATGCAGGATGGTGCGTAACAGCTTCCAAAGCACTTTTACACGTGAGACCTCATTTGCGGGAATTCTCAACTCACAGGATGAGCTGAAGGAGGCCAAGGGAGAGGAGGTGATTTTTTAATTTTGTGATCAGAGAGCACCTATTAGTGCCAGAATCAGAAATAGAACCCATGTCTGCCAATTTCTCTTGGTTACCTCTTCCTGACCCTATGGTCCTAGGTATTTTATTTCCTGAAGATTCCTGTGTTAGAGGCAATTTAAAAGAAAAAAGGTTAAACTAGTTGACTTCAAAGGTCTAGGTTAATGATACATACCGCAGGTATGTTGCACACATACCACATACTCTATTCCTATGCTCATGGCAGGCATTACTAATCAAATCATAGAACATTATCCCTTTGAGGTCAGCACATGTTAAAAGCAGCCAGCACCACCAATTTGTGTGTAAAGAGAACTCTGTTCGCTCGATGCTTAGGGTATTAGGCTGCTGTCAAACCAAACAGCCCCAAATGCCAGAATTAATCCCATCTCTCTTTGTGTCCCCTGCCAGCCACTACCAGTGGTTTAACACCCAACAGCATGATCCCCGAGAAGGAGCGGCAGAACATCGCAGAGCGGCTGCTGCGGGTCATGTGCGCCGACCTGGGTGCGCTGAGCGTGGTCAGCGGGAAGGAGTTCCTAAAGTTGGCCCAGACCTTGGTAGACAGTGGCGCCCGCTATGGGGCCTTCTCGGTCACCGAGATCCTGGGCAACTTCAACACGCTGGCGCTGAAGCACCTGCCGCGCATGTACAACCAGGTGAAGGTAAAGGTGACCTGTGCCTTGGGCAGCAACGCCTGCCTGGGCATTGGCGTCACCTGCCATTCGCAGAGTGTCGGCCCCGACTCCTGCTACATCCTCACGGCCTACCAGGCCGAGGGCAACCACATCAAGAGCTACGTGCTGGGCGTGAAGGGCGCGGACATTCGTGACAGCGGCGACCTGGTGCACCACTGGGTGCAGAACGTGCTGTCGGAGTTCGTGATGTCGGAGATCAGGACAGTGTACGTGACGGATTGCCGCGTGAGCGCGTCCGCCTTCTCCAAGGCCGGCATGTGCCTTCGCTGCTCAGCCTGTGCCTTGAACTCGGTGGTGCAGAGCGTGCTGAGCAAGCGGACGCTGCAGGCCCGCAGCATGCACGAGGTCATCGAGCTGCTCAACGTGTGCGAGGACCTGGCGGGCTCCACAGGCCTCGCCAAGGAGACCTTTGGGTCGCTAGAGGAGACGTCGCCGCCGCCCTGCTGGAACTCAGTGACGGACTCGCTGCTGCTGGTGCACGAGCGCTACGAGCAGATCTGCGAGTTCTACAGCCGGGCCAAGAAGATGAACCTCATTCAGAGCCTCAACAAACACCTGCTGAGCAACCTGGCGGCCATCCTGACGCCGGTGAAGCAGGCCGTCATCGAGCTGAGCAACGAGAGCCAGCCCACCCTGCAGCTCGTGCTGCCCACCTACGTCAGGCTGGAGAAGCTGTTCACGGCCAAGGCCAACGACGCGGGCACCGTCAGCAAGCTGTGCCACCTCTTCCTGGAGGCGCTCAAGGAGAACTTCAAAGTGCACCCGGCCCACAAGGTGGCCATGATCTTGGACCCACAGCAGAAGCTGCGGCCCGTGCCGCCCTACCAGCACGAGGAGATCATCGGCAAGGTGTGCGAGCTCATCAACGAGGTGAAGGAGTCCTGGACCGAGGAGGCCGACTTCGAGCCCAGCGCCAAGAAGCCCCGCTCCGCCACCGGCGACAACCCCGCAGCTCAGGAAGACGACCGGCTGGGGAAAAACGAAGTGTACGATTACCTGCAGGAACCCCTCTTCCAGGCCACCCCCGATCTCTTCCAGTACTGGTCGTGCGTCACCCAGAAGCACACAAAACTCGCCAAGCTCGCCTTCTGGCTCCTGGCGGTCCCAGCCGTGGGGGCCAGAAGCGGGTGTGTAAATATGTGTGAACAAGCACTTCTAATCAAAAGGAGGCGACTGCTCAGTCCAGAAGATATGAACAAACTCATGTTTCTGAAATCCAACATGCTTTAAGGCTTCGGGGGAAAAAAAAAAAAAGAAAGAAAACAAAAAGAGAAGAGAACATTAGAAAAAAAAAAAAAACACACAACACTGTCACAAACAAAGAAAAGGAATTTAAGTTCTAAACACTGTGGACCTCATTATAAATGCCCCCTGGAAACATAAGTGCTTTTTTTCCGTGTGTGCGTGCATGTGTGTACACACCCACATGTGTGCATGTGTCTGAACACACATGCTGTGGTTGTGGGGGTGTGGGGGGCTCTGTGCTCATCTGCACGGCCAGAGAAGCTTCGCACACACGTGCGCGCACACACAGCCCTGGTGCGTGCACACACGCCTGTCCGCGGGCGCGTGCGCATTAAACTGGGTGTGTCAGGAAAGCTGAGCGATTGGGAAAGAGGGAGATGTTCCACCTCCTTTTCTCAGTGACGGGGCTTTAAAGACTCTGTTTTCAGGTGTGCAGGTTGGTAGAAAGCTGTTGTTGTGAAATGTTCAGGCAGCTGAGATCTGAAGTGACTTGACGCTCTCTGCCCTCCACCCCCTGGTCCCCCGTCTCCCTCCCTGCCCCCGTCCCAGCCCTCCCCACCCCACACCCCCAGCTGCTCTGCCGTGGATTCTCCAAACTGCATCAGACGTCAGTTGCTGCACTGGACTTTGTTTCTCGTTCATCTTCAGGGCATTGAGCTGCTGCCTCTGTGACACCCCCCGGGTGTCCCGGGGCAGCCGCCTTAGAAACACACCTATCTATCTCCCCAAATCAGGAAAGGAGACTTTACAAATACGAAGCTGACATTTTGCTTTATAATATAAGAGAGAAAAAAAACAAAAGACATTTTTCAGAAAAGTATAGACACTGTCTCCACTCCTTAATATTTTTTCCTAACATTTGAGCAATTTTTACCTTGTTTTGGGGATTCGTTTTATTTCTTCAAATTTGCTTAGACTCTGCTAGGAGGCACTGAATGTCTATAACTTATGTTTTTTGGAGTTTTGTTTTTTACTTGCCCCTTTTGTTCCTCAAGTCACACTGTAAACTAGCTCATCTCAGTGGTATACTCAGTATCCTAAGGTTTTGCTTAGCCTTCCCTGTACAGTTCAGTTTTCGTGTATTTGGGCAGCCAAGACCGAGATCTTGCTGTTTGGAGACCGGGGTGGGGGAGGAGTCGCAGATTCCACAGGTGTGGGGTTTGGCAGAAGCCATAGGGGAGGCAGGTGGCTTAGGAGTCCTGAATGTAGGTGCAACAGCCGCCCCCCTGGTCCGCTGTGTCTGGTGCCACAAATGTCTGATTTCCGTACCCAGAGTGCATTACACTACTCCCACCTCTCTGACCCTTCCAGTTCCACAGGGACCCCTGAGTTGATCTGTAATCACATCCGCCACACCTCAGACCCGCCACGGCCTCTGCTCCCTTCCCAGGACCCCAAGGGTTCTGGGGCCCCCACGTGCGCCTCAGACCTCCCTCCAGGACAGCGGTTGAGCGTGGGGCCTTGTGGGCCAAACAGCTGATGTTCCAAGGGTGGCGAGGCATTTGGCCGCAGTCAACTCGATGCTGTGAAAGGTGTCTTTAGGCTGTGCCCCAGCCATTGCAATCTGTCCTGTGCCCTAGCCATTACAATCCAGGTTCTGCACACACAGTCCGGTGCTGAAAGGGTGGCACCCCACTCCCATCAGGAGAGGTGGTTCCATCAGGATCCACGCTCAACCCCCATCACTCCTCCCAGTGGATAAAGTTCGGTGGTGTCCTGTGCCCTGGTGGTCCCACGTGCCCCAGTGACCATGGCCGTGGGACAGGGATGGTTACACTCAGGGCTTCAGACTGAGAATGACCACCATTGTGGGGGGCTGTTTGCAAAGGCACCGTCTACCATGCTGGGGCTCGGCTGAGTCCACTCCACCCCTTCCCAACAATAAAGCATTACTCAACTGCGAGATACCTCGACTACCAAAAGCACTGTACTGCAGCCCTCTCCCCGGGTCCGTGGCAGGAGGAGGAGTAAAGTGGTTTTAAAAACTCAAGAAGGCTGAGGATTGTGGACCCAGAACACTGTCCTGGGGGCCAAGCCTACACACTTCGCCTCATGAGAACTGACCCAGCTCTCTCCTCCAGAGTCTTGGACATGATGAGATGGATCCACCTGGACCATCTCCACATTCGCTCCAGCAAGCCGTGGTCTCAGGAACCACCATGCCATTTCCTCTCCTGGAGAATTCTAGGTGTTTCCTCCTGGGGGCCCACCCTCAAAGGAGCCTCCATCCCCTCTAGCAGGAACAGGGCAAAATCTGAACAGGAACCTAATGTCGCTTCCTAGAGAGTACGGAAACATTAACAGACTTTTCGATTGGATCTTCGGGGACATTCCACCAGGTGGCCTCGGAGTTGCTGATGATTGACAGATGCCTACAACAGGAGGGCCCACCAGTCTTGCTTGACTGCCAGGGAAGGGGCCATGGCCTGGAAACTTTCAACCACACAAGGAGGATGGGACCTGTCCACTCTGTGGGAGCAGAGCCTTGGCGCCCATCCTCCCCCTACTTGGAGCAGAGCTGTGCTGGGGGTGCCCTGTTGTTGGCCAGTTAATGAGAAAATAGGCATTTCACTTTCTTGCAAGGCCGTCAGCAACCAAGCCCAGGTATGCATTTAGAGCACTCACCACTCTCTGTGGAACATGGGATGTCTGCCCTCCAGAAAGAGTCAGTCGTATCTAGTCATAGGTTGTCACCTCCTGTCCCGTTCTTCCTTTCCACCTCAATTCAGTGCTTAGGGTTGGGCTTGCCTCTGCAGGTTGCACGTGAATGCCAGTAGGTACTCAGAAAGCTGTCTTCTGGGGCCGCCTTGTGCAGACAGAGAACAAAGTGGCAGTGGTCATTTCTCTTGCAACCTCTGGTTCCCCAGAAACGGATGTTGCCAACAGGAAAGGCTGTACCAAGGTGCCCTCTCAGTCTGCTTCTCACGCAGGCCACTGTCATGCAGGTCCTGCTGCAGTGAACAGCTTAATAAAACCCAAAGATCTCACAGGTCCAGACTGGCCCCCTCGTCTCCAGCAATATCCACCTTACCAAATTCTAGTTCAGCCAAAGGATTGAGACTGGCTCTTCCAGCTCACCTCCCAGCGCCCAACCTGGCCTTCTCTTGGGAGGATTTTGTCATCTGCCCGCCCAGTTCTGAGGCCACTATAGGTCCGTCCATCACAGGCCACTGGGGGATTGGGGACCAAGAAGTTGGGCCATTTCTCCCATGTCCTCAGCAGATCAAGGTGGTTGCCTGCTGACTCTGGTTAGCTCACCTCGAGACACGTGACTCCCAGGACAGAAATGGCCTTTATTTTGACATATACAGACCCAAGAGGGGAGGTGACGAAAACACATCTCCACTAAGCAGTCCTTCCCCCCGTTACCTGAGGTCAGCTTGCTTCACCAGCAAAGCCCAAGCCAAGGACCGCAGCATCATGGATGGTCCCCTGGATTTGCAGTAGCCCAAGGAGTCTCAGGTCCACCAAGAGCAAAGGTGCCAACCTGGTCACGGGTGGATGCCCTTGTCTCAGCACTGTTCTCCCTCTCCTGATGCCCAGGCCAGCCAGCCAGGCCTCCTTCCGATGGCATTTAGAAACCAGGAAACGGATGCCACCTGAGCGAAACGGCCTGTGCTTCATCTCTGGGGTTTCATAGCATAGAGGTCACCTGCCGCATCACGAGTGAGGAAGCTCTACCACCATCCCACTTGGAGCTTCACACTTGGCATTTGGGGATTGGCTCTTGGCTGGGAAAGGGGTACCAAGATTTCCGGGCAAGGACAAAAGGGCAGTCCGGTGACAACGGATGAGAAGCTATGGGTCTCCAGGACTCTAGGAAGACACCAGGTGCGTAGGCTGGCCAGAGTCCTCTCTCTGTTTGACCTTTTTATTTCCTGCACTTTCAAGAAACACCAGAGAAAAATTCTACAGGGCGTGTTTTCCACTGTGAAGCTGAACCTCTGTCTTTAGGAGTCCGCTGTTCTTGAGCAGTGCCACCTGCTTCCCCTGGGCTCGGGCTGGACTCCTTGAAGAGTGGGCACCTGGAGAGATGTCAGGGATGTGGCACGTGCTCTCTGGGGGGGCCACAGAGTCATCAGAAGATTTGAAGTGAAGATGGGACGTGGAGGGAGAAGAGGGGGCCTACAAGATGGCCCAGCAGGGGACACTGCCCAGATCTTGTCATCATGATGGATGTGCTCAAAGAGGAGGTGCACAGGGCATGACACGCAGCCACCTGCCGCCCGGCGAACGGCACCAAGTTCAGAGCTTCGCCCTTGCCTGGGGAACAGCGGCAGCGCCTCTGTCTCTGCGATGCATCTGGCGGAGGGCTCCTGGGAAGGCGGATGGTTTAGACAGAACTGAGAGACTAAGTAAGGCCCAGCTGTCCCCTGGAGCCAGTGGACGGGAGCTCCTGTCCCGGCCAGCTGGGCCAGCGGGAGAACTGGGAAGGAGGCTGCCCCTCCCTTCACTGTGGCTAATGTTTGCTAGGCCAGTTATGGTGAACCAATGATACAGTGTTTTCCCTCTTATGTTTCCCTCCTGGTTTCCCCTTTTCAGGGTTTTCTGGGGGATTTCATTGTCGTAGTTGTTGTTTTTCTTTCTCTCTCATTTGGGTTCGAGGATCGTGGTCGGGGGCACCCTGGCCTTTGCGGAAGGAGCCCTGTGATTTCTGTGGAAGAGGCACCTGCCGAGGGTGAAGATCGTCAGGTCACTGTTGGACACGTTCACGCCCCGACCCGCCACCACGGGTGTCGCTTTAAAGATTCGATTCCTGTATGGAGAAGGATTTGCTCGGTTTGCAGTTGGGCCCCACCCACCCATGCGTCCACTGGGCACCTTGACTCTTCAAACCAAATTCCTTAACGGGGCACAGCCCAGCCTTGTCCTCAACCTCAGGGGCCTGGCATTCCCGTGGCGCTTCCTCAAGTCCAGGTTGGCACAGACGGGCTCTGAGGCCAGCCGGAAGGAGGCACTCCTCCCACAACCCAGGTGCCAACCGGTCTCTGCCTG